ATAGAAAGACTGACAATGAACACATGTCTTGAAGGTTGAATGGTCTTCAGTATGAAAGCCAGGTCAGTTTGAGAGAGACGCTAATGTTTGAGGTCAATGCTAAAACTCAAGGATGTCCAAAACAAACTAATGGGCTTGAAATGTGATCCTGGCCTACAGTCCAAGGCTCAAGCACTCCACAGTCAGAATTACCGAGCTGGTTAAAGACAAGAAACAGTTGGTTACTTAAGGAAAGAAGCAATTAATTGTGGGTTACTCTTGTATTTCCTAAAGACAGAATTTCCAACCACCTTGATAGGCTTTGTGTTAGTGAGGAGAGAATTTCCACACGAAGTCCTGGGAATACAACTTTCAGTCTTTTCCTTTCCAAGGAGTTGTTGCATCCATCAGGCTGGCCTCAGGGTTCCTCCAACACCCTGGATTAGAATGGCATCTCGAATCCCTGTGCTGGTTTTATTTCATGCAGGTTGCTGCTTTGTCTTGTCTGTCTGCAGGTAATATCTGCTTGACCCCACAGGACATAAAGTCTCTTTTATAAAGCTTTTAGTAGAGCTGCAGTGTCACCTCTATTGCTGAGAACCCTGTTTGATTTAAGAGAATGACTCTTTAAAGCGCATGTATTCAGAGTTTAAAAGACAAACGACAGAAAAGGATCAGCTAAGTAAGCGCACTCATATTTTTTCAGTAGTCTTCTTGTCTTGTGTGTTTTGTGCATTCCTTTGCTGCTCCTCGGACACGAGGCTGCCATAGGTCACAGGGACTGGGTGGAGGTGGTGTTGGTGGTGGGGACTCGCCTGTCTGAGCAACAAGGGTTGGTGGAGCATCTATAAATCTGCCTCAGCTAGTTTACGAGAGTTTGAGGGACGTTTTTTTCACGGGGAGCAGTGAGGGGGCTATCTCAACCTGGCCTGCACAGAAGAGCTTTTGTCAGGAACCACCAACACCTCCACCTCCTGCTCCCGTCCATCCACCCAAGCAGCAGTGAGCATAGCCCCCCACCCCCACCCCTCATGATCTCTACTTCTGGCTGCTCTGCACTCTGATGAAACCTGGGGCCGTATCTGCAGGGGTGCTTATGTAACCAAAACATCACAGACACCTGGCGGAGATGAAAGGCGTCCGGCTCGTTTTTCACTCGCACTATTACCGGCTATTTCCGTGCTGAAATGTGCCGTAATAACACTCTGAGACCTCTGCAACTCCAGAGACGGGAGGCCCTTTCAGCTCTTGTAATACAGTAGGTGAGAGGCCACAAATACTGCAGCCATGGTGGCGGTTGTCATGGCGACTTGAGCCCTTGATGCCAGTGCAAATCTTCCCCTGGCTTCTCTGCTTAGATCCAAAAGCAGGATCCTGGGCTGCAACCAACGCTGAAGAGGATCATTTTTTTTCTCTTATTCGCTCATTCCTGCCAATGAGCTGATGATGCATGTCGGGGTAGAGTAAAAGCCAGCTGAAATGGCACGCTCAGTCGAGACTGAAGACTAATGGACTCATTCAGTGCAGCCAAATGTTGTGCGAAGAGGATAAACAACCTTTTTGGCTTTTTTCTCTCTCTCTCTTTCAGGCTGCTTTCTTCCCGGCGCTGATATAAACAGATGGGAAAATGAGTTTTGTTTATCATAGGAAACAGGTGCTTGCATGCACATAATCACATGCCATACACAGAAGAATAGCCCCCCCCCCCCCCCCCCCCCCCCCCCCCCCCCCCCCGATCTGTCATGACCTTGTGTGGCCTGGGTCGGAGAATGGGCTCCAGCTGGGCATGGTGTATGTTTCACAAACGAGTGTTTTGAGCGCTCTTACAGGAGCCATTCATCTGAGGATATGACTGTTCACGGGGGACAATGAGAGCCGATAGGGTCCCTGTGATTGTGATAAATGAGCTGACACAAATTAGAGCATGAGATGCAGGCTAATTACAGGAGATTTCAGCCCCTTTAAAGTAATAGCACACAGGCCCACAGAAGGCAGCCCACTGCAACAGACAGACCTCCACGAGCCCTGCTGTCATAGCGAGGGGGCTTTTTTCTGTGTGGTGTGTGTGTTTGCGTGTGTCTGGTGTGTGAGGTCATGAGATGCACATTTTGAGCGCATGCGAGCATAGGTGTGAGAAAAGAGAGGAAGGCTTTCCTGCTTGTTTGTCAGCTTGTCAGATATCATACTGGGTGTTTTTTCTCACCTCCGTTACATTGGAGCTCACATTAAAGAAGTGACATCGCAACTTTCACCCACTTCGTCTTTCCTTCGTTTGGGGTAAGCACAAAAGTTAACCTTAAAATAATGTAAATTGACCTTTTTTCTGGCCTGTGAGGACAATAAATTACATTTTGGTGAGTTTTCAACTATATTTTTATGGTATCTGAGTATTCTGAGTTGCGATAGTTTTATAGGGAGACAGTTTCATGTATACAGAGACTTTTTCAGACTTTAGCAATGTTTTACTTTTCATATAAAGCTTTTGTGACTTACAGAAACATATATGGTAAGAGCTGCTGGATCATACTGCTGTATGCACTGATCCGTTTATTTAATTCTTCCATTAAGGTGCTTTATTGTGTTTACAGTCAAAAATAATCAGTCATTGTTTTCAAACTGTACGAAACTCTTTTTGAGATCATTCAGTCATGACTGAATCTGAAAACTGTCTCCTGTCTGTCACTGCATAGCTGAATCATTCCTACATACGTTTGCACTTGAGAACAGCCGTGGCAAAAGCTATTCTTTTTTCTGTTTATCTATTTAACAGAAAGATGAAAGTGTTAAGAAGCAGTTTTATTAGGTGTTGCCATTCTGAATTTACAGTAACATCAAAGCACAGGGGAAAATGTTGCATAGTCGCAGTTTCCTGACACCCTTCTGCTGTCACCATTTCTAAGAATAACAACCAGCACATTTTCTTCTTGCTGAACTTACAAACGTGTATCAGCGGGATCATGCCACATGTTAACTATAATGGAGAAAATGTTTTTAAGCTGGATGTATCTCCAATTTTTTAAATTTACTTACATTTACAGAGTGCAGGCAGGGTGGGGCAGGTGGAGACGAGTGTCAATGGTGATTTGTGTCAGAAAGATGGCCGCAAAAGTGATAGAGAAGATGTCTATGATGTCTAGAAGTGGCAGAGTTGAAGATGTTGAAATTCTTATTGAGAGTGACCAGGATGGACAGGATTAGAAATGAGTACACAGTACACGGTTACAGCTCAGGCAGATGATCCACCGTGCTGATAACTGCTTGACAAGTTCAGGGTTGTGGAATAGCTAGTCTATCCCAGCTGTCACAGAGCAATAGGCTCTAGCTTTCCCATGACAAATTAAGAGTGAGTCATAGGTTTGACACAGAAACGTAGACAGCCATTCACACCTACACCCCATTTAGAATCACTAGTAACCAAAGCACCCACAGCAGGGCCCCAAACAATCTGCAGATTCAAAACCAGAACCTTCCTCTTGTGGGATAACACAAGCCACCCTTTTCTTCTTTCGTTCTTCAAACTTTAAGGGTTAGCTAAGCGGATATAGTGGTTTATTATACAAAAACTCTTTTCTTTCTTATTTATATTTGGATACATTTGGATGCGCTTTCGTAAATTGTGTATCAAGCTACCAGAATGTGTGGCCCCCTCATATCTGATAAGGATCCTGCATTATTGGTATTCACATCAAGCTATGCAACTTTGATGCGACTGGAGTCAATGTTCCCTCTAATTTTCCATGTGTATTAGCCAACACACAAACTCCCTGAGCGGCCCCTTGGACCACTGTGAGCAACAGGAGATGTGTGCACTGTGGTCATCAAATCCATCCAAATTACATGGTTGATTAAAATAATCAAATTACAGCATTTACATTTATGTTAGACTACTTTTAATTAACTGCTTTAGCCTACTTACAATGAAAATGAAAAAAAATCTTGTTCATGACCTTTGTAGTATATTAACACTATTGGAAGTAAAAATAACTTGAACTCCAATTTTGAAAACACAACTTTTCTTCTTTTTTTTTTTAAATAAAGCTCTGACTTGTATTATGAGTCTGTGGTCTGGGAGAGAGTCTGTAACTCTCTGTCTGCAAAATACAGTATATAATGACCAGTGTTGGGCAATTAATTATATAGTTACTTCTTCAAAAAAGTAACTGAGTTATGCAAACAAAGTTTTTTGCAGCCGTTTACCTAAAAATGCAGCCAAGGCATTTTTAAATAAACATTTAAAACTATTTACAGAACAATCAGCTGTCATTTCTGTCCACTATGAGATAAAGGAGAACAACAGCCTCATACCTGCAGGCAGTGTTGGTCAAGTTACTCGAAAAAAGTAATAAGTAACTAATTACTGATTACTTCCCCCCAAAAGTAATCCCATTACTTTACTGGTTACTTATTTTCAAAAGTAATTAATTACTTAGTTACTTAGTTACTTTTTAAAAACACGATTTACAACTGAATAGGTGATAAAGCAATAGATCTTTCAGCCCAATTCTACTTTTTCTGCATAATCCATCATACAAAATGTAATCAAATGGAAACGTCTCTTTTTAAAACTTGTTTTATTAGTTTTAATCTTTTAACTTTATGCATCAAGCAAAAATGTAATTATATGCAACATTCTCTGACTGGAAGAAATTTGTTTAACATTTAAACCTATTTTCTGCACATTCCAGCACATAAAATAAAATATATTTTTGTGTGTTTACACTCACTCTTTCAAATAGATGCAAGTGAAACACAGCAGAAAATAAATAAAGTCAAAGACTCAGCGGTCCTGTTGCTCTATTTTCACCTGTAAAGTAGGGTAGGCGGAGGTTTACCCTGGTGCAGGTGTGCTGCAGCGGTCAGTGGAAGAATCTGCGAGTTTCTCTGTGAATTTCCCATTACGTTGTAGCGCACTGGGTGCTTGCTTGGAAGTTTAGGGGTTTTTTTTCCGCTCTCCCCACTCCATATATTATCCATTGTTGATCTGCACACAGCTGTTGTCACAAACTTCGCACTTGCTTAGGTCACTGTCATGAGACATTCTCGCAAAAAACTCCCGGTTTTAGTAACGCAGTAACGCAGCGTTCCTACGGGAATGTAACGGTAATCTGATTACCATTTTTGCAATAGTAATCCCTTACTTTACTCGTTACTTGACAAAAGTAATCGGAGATGGGCAGTAATGCGTTACTTGTAATGAATTTGATTTAGTTCTTTTGTCTCCTGCTCAAGCTGTGGTTTGCAGTATGATGTTGAATTTAACACTAAAAAGAGTGTAATAATGAGCGCCTCATGTAAAGAGGACTGATAGCAAACTATTTACTGATTCTGTTTGGGAGGTAAAGTTTTAAATGTAGTGACTTTAAGTTAGTTATTTAACTCATGTCATCAGAAATGATGGCCAATGTTGTAAACTTTATGCACAAACAAATATGCTAGTCTGTAATTTCTACAGGTGCACAGATGATGTTAAAATAACTCTTTTTTTTTAGAGACTGTTGTACTGTACTTTATGCAGCACATTTGTGGTGCACTTACAGTATACCATAACAAAGCGTCAGGTAGCATATAATTACTTAGGCTTCCATGATGGGACAAGTGCAAGACAAATGTTGGTGACTGGTAATGTTTCATATGTAAATGTATGTGTTCATTAATTGATTCAGAAAAGCTGGTCACAGTGATTTTAGCTGTACCATCTTTAAGTGATACGAGAAACTTAAATATAGATGTTATACATTATATATGATATCATAGATATTTCTCGTTCGTCTAGACAATTGTCTGTTCACACTGTAACTTATAACGATTGCATTTTTGTGGTGTCTTTTATTAACTTTTATTAAAAAAAAATAAAGATCACTTTATATCAGTTGTAAATGTGCAGAATAAATGGAGAAAAAAAATAATGCCTTTTTAATGATATTTTGTTTTACGCCTGGCATTAAGTTATGCTACAATTAACATTTCTATACCCTGAAAAACCGACAGAAAGTTGAGAGAATAATTTTTTTCTTCATATTCTACTGTTTATTATTAGTTTTATATAATATTTTTAGATTTTTAGAATTCTTGTTTTAATTCAATTTTTTAATTTATTTTTTGGCAATTTAATTTTTAAAATATTTTCTTTTTTCCTTTATTTTATTTTGATACGACGATGACGTCGCAGATTTCTAGCAGACCGTAAGCGGGCGTGGTTAGAGGGTTTTAGTTGGGCCAATCAGGAGCGCCTAATGTTAATGAGCTGCAGGAGTCGGTGTGGTGAGCGGTTCTCCGGAGTAGAGGAGTAGAAAGCTGCGGACTGGAGTCAGCTAGATCATTGCGTGTTTCTCTGCATATGAATCTCTGGATGGCTGGTTAACCGCACAGGAAGAAGAAGAAGAAAAACTCTTAATAGTGCCTCCGGTTATTCCGACGTGCCGCTGTGTGTCGCGGTAAAGCGGATATTTCTCACTTTAACTGGAGTCAGAAAGAAAAGCGGCAAGATGAAATACAAAGTAAGTGAAGCGCCGCGGGCTGGATTTGATGCCACATCTCAGTTTTTTGTGTTATTAAGGCTGGATATTTGTTGTGTTGTTTAACCTGGATAATGACAACAAATCTTGATGCTGTCGGAGACTTCTTTTTGAGTCGACGTGAATGTGAAATGTTAACGCTTCTGTATTCGTGGCGGTAATCACAACTTATTTCAGTGAATACATCCGGGTTGCTTTTTTCTTATGAACTGGTTAAAAAAAGAAGGGGAAACTGCACTAATGACTTGCTGAAACGTGCCTTTTTTGTTTCTGCTTGGTGTGTGTGTGTGTGTGTGTGTGTGTGTGCTGCACAAGTCAGTATGCGTCACTTTAAATCTGCAGGTTACGTTTTCCATCACAGGGGCGTAAAGAGAATTAAAATGAAAACAACTTTGAGGCCCCCTCCTTGGACTCACCACTACATTAGATTAGACAAAGACAGAAAATTGTATTTTTTTTAAGTCTAAAACCTGAAGATATCAGGTTATGACAAAGAAATTTGTGACAAATACACATTATAGGAGGTGTAATTAGCAAATACTTAGAGATATTGTTTAAAAATGTTTTAAAAAAGGAGTATTGGGTTATGAAAGCGGTTGCAAAAAAATAAATAAATTAAAAAATATATATGTCTTTAGAGAAGATTCATGTGGATGTGGAGTGACATTACATTGTTGTTTGGCTTGGCTCCTTGGAGATCAAAATGCTCAGCTAACCGCAGGTCATTTCCACAACAGCTGAAAGCCCCCCGCAGAGATATTTAGTTTAGTGCTATAAATCTGTGATTCTTATCCTGTTTTTGATGCTGTGGATATTTTATGGTAGTGGGTTTTCTTTTGTGAGTAAAGCTCGCTGTAATGTGGTTTAGGATGCTGTAAAATCAGACCAGCTCTCAAACAGACAGAAAAGACTGTTGTTAATGCTGTCAAATGCAGTTACTGGGATTAAAAGGGAAAGTCACCTCTGCATCATCGGCTACAACCACAGGTCTTTACATCAGGGTGTAGACAATTGGAGGCTTCGACAGTGATGGATGGAACAGCTGGATGTCACTTCATCAGGAGGAAGCTTTGAATTTACTCTGGATGTGATTGCATTTTGGCACTTTTCCTTTGCTTCATGTTCTTGGGTCTGAGGTCTTCCTTCCCCGTTAAAGGGGCAATAGTCTTTTGTGAGGATTTTGGGGGTTTTGAGGGCACTTGATTCAGTTTTCACTGGCTGTTTTCTGATGTGTGAAGTAGCTGTTTGCCTCAGTGTTGGCTGGGATTCTCTCTGCTATGAGGTTTGGCTTTTTTTCTTCAGTCTTCTGGTCACTCTTCAGCAGATTTGTGACTGGAGGGCGTGCTCGCTGCATATGTGCGTCATGCTCACTGACTCATTGTCCTGTCAAGTACACAGTTCACAGAGCCAAGGGTGATAGTTTGGGTGTGAGGCCAGAGGAGGATTTGAAAGTGGGGAAATAACTTCGAGCATGTCTCCACGGTCACTGTATTCACCCTGAACAATGAGACTGATCAGTGCATGCTCATAAATATGATAAACACCACCGTTTCAGGCCGCTATCAGCCTGTAGGGAGGATATCTGTGCAGTATACACACTCCGCTCTCTGACGTCTGACTCCTTTGTTTGTCACATTCAGAAGATAGCCAGAGCACAGAGATCATGTAGACAGCGCTCTTTGTTTACAATAAACATATCCACGTTATGCAAGGCTGTGGCAGAGGAAAGGAGGGTGGGAAATCAGCCCAAGGCTCCGGTTAGGTGACACATTTCACGTCACTACTGCGATTATCTAGTTTCAGCCGGTCACAGCTCTACTGCATCACATCCCGACAGCCACTCGATATTTACAGCTATATTAAGAGCGTCCCTGTCCTCGCAGAGTGGTAGTGTTTCAACACATGCTTAACAAGCGAGGCCGACCCGTCCCCCTCATGTGGTTCACGTGACCTGAGGTGAGGCGTCGCGGTCTGATCAGACGCCTCTAGAGATGGTTTCCAACAGGTGTTCAGGTGTGAAACGGAGTGCCTTTTTCCATAGGTCACCAAATGTGTGTAATCCCCATGATGATCCTCACAGAGGCAGAGCTCTTCCAGGGAAATGGAGGACAAAGAAAGATGAGACATAAATTAGTATGAAGGGGACCCATTTTGCTTTTTCCTTATTTTCTGTCTTGTCACTGTTACAGAGGCGGATGGTTATATTTTTAGTTTCACTTAATGAGGTCTGTGTTTAGTGAGTAATCCCCGTGAGCCAAAAGCTCGGGCTCTAAACGCTCAGATTCAGACAGTTTTTTTCTACCTTTGGGTCTGAGTGATGTCATAGAGCGGAGATATTCCTCTTACGGCCATCACAGTCACACAGCTGTGGTTCTTAGTACATAAAGCCCCACCCACCTACAGTTTGAGCCTTCTGTTTGTGAGGGGCAGCCAGTCAGAACAAAGTTGGCCTCAAGGGGGAGGAGCTAAAACAGCTCGTTTCAGACTGAGCAAAGCTGTTCTGTAGAGTTCAAGAACAAAACATGGAGATAGAGAGGATTATGAGAGATTCAATTTGCTTATTGGCTTGGAGATACTTCACATACCATAGTATAACGACTGGAAACAGGAGGAAACTGCCAGCCAGGCTCTGTCCAGTGCTAACAAATGCCAACAGTAACGCTAAAGCTCCATAATTAACCTGCTGCTTTTGTGATAACAGGTAAAAACGATCAACTCCTTTAATGCTTTTGAGTTAAAGCTCTCTATATGATGCCTTAAATGAAGGATGTCCCTGCTGGAAGTTGGACTTGGACATGGAGAATGTACTTGCCCAGAACTGTCCTTTTAAAGGGTCGTGACACAGTTTTAAACACCCAGGTCTCATTCCTTTGTAGCTGATGTAACCGTTGTAGAAATAGCTCCACAACCAGAGTGAAGAGTGATTAGATGAAGCCAAACTCTGGCCCAAAATGTGCTTTTCAAAGTGTTTGTATTTTTTTTAATGGGTTCAGGTTCTAGGCAGTCAGCCAGCACTGAAGGGAACTGGAGGAGAGAGCATAGCAGACATTGTTCTAAGAGTGAGGAGGAGGATCTGTGGTGCTGAAAGGGCCTGCAGAAAATGAAAAGGAGAGGAAGTTGCGGGAAAAACGAGAGGGCAAACAGAGTTGGCTGGATAGTGGGGGTCGAGCCGTTGGGGTGGGGTTGATGGGAGTCGGGGAGGTCGAGGAGCGCCCCGTGAGAATGAGTGCATTCCAGGCGATCGTGCATGGGAAGGTTGTTCAGAGGATGCACATGATTGTTTCAAGGTGGCCCTTCACATTGATAATGAGCCTTACAGCAGGGGTTCTTTTCTTTTCCCAGCTTGTTTGCTTACGCAGGGGGTGGCATTGTGTAGTCCTTCCAGAAAGAGACATTTGTATTCTTCTGAAAGAAATTCCTTGAGAGGAACCCAGTGCCCTTTTCAAGAGAACTCTGCAAGTTATATGCACTTAAGCATTATTTCACATTGCTTTTTCCCATCTTAACTTCAAAGCATTTATTATTCTGTGCCTGCTCAGATGTCTGAACAGTGACATGTAGCTTTTGTAGCCCATGTGTGTCAGCGATTTCCTGTCCCTTTGCCCAACTTTGCTCCTGTGTAAGATTTTCAGATGCAAAGAGCTACTCCCCCAATGTCAATGAATAGCGATCCCCCCACCCCCACCTCCCCTCTCTGCGCCCTCGCACCGTGAGCCAGCCATTAACATTTGAAAACAGCCAGCGGGGAGACAGACTACAATGTGGACTCGTTTTAGAAACAGACTCACCAACAATGCAAAGAACCATTTCCACGGTTGAGCTCCTCCTTCCTTCCCTCAAGGAATGCCAGCTATTTCACAGGGTCATCCTTCAGGATCTAGTGGGCTCCCGTCAACTCGGTTCGACTGCACGGAGAGTCTGTTTAATAGCTGAGCTGACCTGTGTGCGCTCTGGATATGTGTAGGGTAGAAGCAAAGGTCCTCTAGCAGGCTGACAGCATCGTAGTTTTAAAGCATGTGAGATTGCATTAGTCTTCTTTGTCATGTGGCGAAGCTGAGCAGTGTGTAGACAGTCGTTTGGGGGAAAAGCAATTATAAGAAGCTGCTGTATACAGGTAAAAAAAAGAATACTAAACATTGCTAAAGGTTTTAAATAAATAGGTCAAAGTGTATATAAATTACATGAATTCAGAGTACTCTAAACAGCCCATTTGAGGCTTTTATTCGTTGCCCCCCCCCCCACCGCTCTCTATGATGGAGGATGACATGTCCAGTACAGCCATCTAAGGTAAATTTAACTGTTTGTGAGTGCAGAAGCCAATCAGAACTTTGTTATAACTTAGTTCACCCAATGTCTGTTCTAGACAGTGGGTGAACTAAGGGGCTACCCCATGGTGGAGTCTAAGATCATTATTATTTTTTTATGCATGAATCATGTTGTTGAAATAAACCTAGTAAGTCCTCTTAAACCACTTCCTTCATCCTTTTAAACAGTTACTCATTCATTTCCACACACATCATTTTCAACGCTTTCCCTTGAGCAACGGCCACAGAGACGTGGACGCAGACGAAGAAAAGCAGAATCAAAGATTCGTACACAAGATTCGTCTATGAAAGTTGGTATAAAATGCAAAGACGGCTCATTTTGGGAAAACAATCTGAAGTTTACGATCGATAAGCAAGATAACTTGACATATTCATATGTCATTAAACCTCTTTTTATCAGTCAGGAAAGTTGATATTTATTAATGAAAATATTCCTGATATTGCCTTTTTGGATTTTTTTTTTTCCCATTTGTTGGCCAAAACAACCCATAGCTGTTGGTTATTGAATCTATTTGACATTTCATACACCAAATTATCCATTCAAATATAAAAATAAAATAAAATAAAATAAAAAATATATATATCTCATCTAATCATAATGAGAGTATCCCTTAGTTTAAAAAGCACTTAATCAAATGCAGTAAAGTGTTAAAAGGG